TTTTTTTTTTTTAGTTATAGTTGATAAATTTTGTGAATATACTAAACTTGTGGTAGTTATCTGATAACATTAATTAATACATTTATGTAATACCCATTATCTTTCAATAATGGCTGGACTATATCTTCATCCTTACTTTTTAGTAATTTAATTGGTTGCTACCAGTAAGGAGATTCACGTGTAATCTCTGAGGAACCTACTCAATTATTTTAATATATAATCTTTGGTTACCTGCTGATTGTCCATTATTATATCTTAAATCATTAATACTTTATTTATTTATTTAAAGTAGATTAAGCTTTAGGAGTTTTCAGCATATAGTGAAGTTTATTATTCATAAGATTACTCTTATGCATGGCATCTTTTAACATACCATTCTGGTACTATTGATGCTGGTGTTTGCATAGGATTAGCTGGAATATAATTATCACTATGACCTAATAAATTAGGGTAATAGAATACTATTATAGATAATACTAAGAAAAAGAAGAATATTGTTACAAGATCTTTAAATGTGAAATAAGGATGCATTGCATATCTATCTGAATTTGATCCTACACCATTAGGATTGTTTGACCCATGTGTATGTAGTGCTAATAAGTGAGCTATAACTAAAGCAGCTAATAAGAAAGGTAATAAATAGTGTAATGAAAAGAATCTATTAAGAGTGGCATTGCTTACACTAAATCCACCCCAAATTACAAATTATTTATGATAAAGCATTTAATCTCTATCCTCATCGGTTAACGATGTTTAGACTATGTCTTCAACCAATAAACTATTAATATTGGTTGTGGGGTGATCGTGTCGAGCTTATTGTTGGTATTACTCACTCGTTAGTCGTTGAACGTTCTTGACCTACTATTAAATAATTATTTTAATAAATACCTAGTCAAGCTCCGCTGCAAGTAATCTTAATATCCGCAATTGCTGGTGGTGGTAATAATTAAGACGTTCTTGCAATTTTCCCCATTTACCTCTAAAACATTACTGTTTTAAGGAGCCGTTTCACAAAAATTATAAAGTTAGTAAAAATGCATTATTACTCTCCCGCCAAGCTCTTCCCCCTATTCCTTTTGTTTATCAAAAAAAAGGACAGGGATCGGGCTTGGGGACTTAAGGGTCAAAGAGCCAGGAAAATTAAGAATTTTGTAACGATTACTATCGTGTAAATTTGTCAACCATTTTAAATATTGAATAAATTTTAGTCCGATTAAAGGATGAAAACCTGAAAAGGAAAAAAAATTAATAACTTTTTGTATATCAGTTTTAGAAGATAGGGAAAATTGCATAAACTCCCCCTTTTCAATAGAAATATTTCGTTTAGTATTAAATAATAATTTAAAAGCTTCAAACAAGTGAACATGAACTTTTTGTTTTAATTGAAAACATCCATCATTATTATTTTTAATAAAAAAAGAACCTTCAGCGTTAGTAAAGCCAACTAACCAATTATTAAAAAAAGCTAAATTAAGATAATCTAAAGCTGTTTTAGGTAATTTAAAAAAAGTTGGTATTTCTTTATCGGGTATTTTTTCAAACAATTTTAAATCATTTTTAAAGATAAACATAGCTAAATCAAATTGAGCTCTTCGATTATTAGTTAAAAAAAATATACCATGATGTATTAATAATGGAAAAATAACTTCTTGTAAATCTGTTTTATTAATAGTTAATTTACAAATAGGGTTTCTATAATCTCGGTAAATTGTGATTTTCCCTAATTTTAATACAGAATGAATATACTCTAAAGTAGAAATATCTTCTAAACTTAAACAAATGGTTAATTTTATAGCTATAAATCCTTTTGTTGTTCTAGTTATTTGAATATAACCATCTCCGTCAATAAGACCGACTAAAAAAGCTATAAATGGATAAGGAATTAATAAATAATCTTTTTTTTCTAATTTTATTTTTTTTCCCTTTTTTAATGCATGTTTACTAACTGTACCTACACTAGGTAATACAGATAGTTCATTTAAATTTGCATTACCGTCCCCTCCTTTTTTTGGTCCAAAAAAAAA